CTACCGGTACGCGCTTTCTCTGTTAACTAGAAGTTTGAATGGAAGATTAATGCTTGTTTAATTTCGCACTAGGGACGGAAGGGCGCCGAGAGTCCGGACGAGAAGCACTCTGCGGAAGCATAGCTTTCTGGATAGTTATCGAGGCTACCATCCCGCTACGAGGCGGCATGTCCGAAATTGATACCCATTTTCATGATTCACGATTCTTTCATGGCATTTCGTGCTCTGTACACTATTCTTCTCTGTATGCAATTCTAGCTCCCTTCTCTGAACTAATCGAGGCTAGCGAGCTAGAAGTCCATCATCTGAGACTCGAAAGTGACATCAACGACGGAAGACATGCTGAGGCAACATATGCCTTCATCTAACTGTATTCGACAAACTCGAGCGTACGCTGTCCAGATTTTGACCATTTGGATAGCCGTGAAGAACTGCCTTCAACGCATCTCACGATTCCCTTTCTGTTTTCGTCTAAAACCCGGTCCCTCTCGCACCGAAATCTTTTCCTCTGTATGGTATATCAGAAATCTACTTCAATGATAATGAAGCCGTCGTACTCGAGCCAGGAAGCCGAGTGTGTAATGTGCGTGGCACAGCTTGATCTTGCATTCGAGAGGTACCGGAACGGTGCTTTCCTAGTATGAAAATTTATTCGGAACCCAGAGTCCTCGATAGTTCCCATCTGAATCTCCAGTTCGACTCGTTGTTTCGATGCCAGCAAGCTTTGAGAACGTTGTAGTGTGCCCATCAATCTCTGGCCATCGCTGAACTCTGATAATTCCTTCGCGTCTCTCTGTTGCGTGGTGGAATTGCCATAATAAAGGTATCTGTCAACGTAATTGTAGGGGCCATCGAAGGACAACGAAAATAGGATTATATTTTTCGCTAAATCACTCTCGAACCCCTTTACCATAAACTCGAGCTCAGACCGCACGAAAAGACCCAAGAAAAGCCATACCAAACTACTTCAATAATGATCGAACGAGTGATGCGAGGAAATCAAAGCGTCGCAGTCGAAGATGAAAGACAATTGCAAGGAATAATAAACATGGTAAATACGTACGATATTCGTAAAGGAGGTCATAGCATAGTCTGGAGTTGGAGATGGTGGCGAATGGATGAAACGAGATGATTGCAGTATGTGAAAAGGGGGCGGAGAAAGGGAGGATGGAGGAGCGAAGACGGAGAAAATGGAAATGCGTCAAAGTTTAAAGGATATGTATGTATGTATAACGACGAATGAAGAGAAGAAAAGCGAGTATGAAGGTGAAAAGGAGACGAGAGAAAACGAGTGGGTAGTATGTGTTTATGTAGATGAGCCGAAGTCCTGTCCTGTCCTGTCCGTGGCGAAAAGCGACAAGATATACGTAGAGCGAGAAAAAGAAAAAGATGGACAAGAAACGATAACGGGGTAAAGACGGTAGGGCTCCGAATCGCCAGCAGGACGACGGTGCATCAAAAGATATCAGCACCGATGCCAACACGATGACAGAGCGACGAGACGAAGAAAGTGAGGATGGAGAGGTCGTAAACGAGGAAGGGGGTATTAGACGTAAGATAGGGCAATAAATAGTCCGTAAGGCCGGGTATTAGGTATCGAAGGGCGTGGCGACGACGTTTTGTCGAGGGCAGTACGCACTCGACTGCGAAGAGTAGGCAGCGGCCGCTGCTGCGTGGTGACGGCGAGGTATAGTTGCTGGTATAGGGCCGGGATATGCGGAGGTATATGCTTGGATGGCGTTGTTGGAGAGTGAATGGACGTCGATCGAAGGGGAAATGGACGGCGGAGGCGGCAAGGGCGGCGTTGATGACAACGACAACGATGGAGTTGATAACGAGGGAGACGATGGCGAAGGCCAAGATGACATCGTCTAGTAAATGAGGACGAGAATGAAGGTGTTGAAGACGAACCCATCGCCAACGACGATCAGAGCGAATGCCAACGTTATGACATCCGCTCAGTGTCGATATTCAACGTCAGCTCAGCAACTACACTCTCCACCTTGTCTGCGACGCAGGATACCACTCCAGCACGGCTGGCTGGGGCGTAGAGCCTAACGTACTCGACCTTGGGCCCTTGCTCGTCCTCGACCGGTTCGCGAGAGAGGTGGCGGAGGCCGAGGAGGAGGCTGAGATTGATGTGCTTGCTCCGCTCCTCCTGCGAGGCCGATCCTGATGCTAGAATCAGCGTCGAAGACGAGGAGGAAGATACCAGGCCCTTGGTCGAGTGTACGAGGTTCGAGTCTCCGCGGGCGTTGATCCACTGTTAATCAACATTTGAACGTAAGTAAGGCGGACGAATGAGATGAAAGAAGAGCTGGACCCACGTAAAGAGCCCTGCCTCTCGTCTCCTGCTCTTGCTTCTCCTGCCCAATGGGCCCATGGTGGTTGCGACCCACACCTCCCTCTACCCCTTCACGTCCAGCACCCCCACCCATACCCGTCCTGCCGGTGCCACGTATCCTGCTCAAAACGCCATCTTTCCTATCCTCCTCCTTCCACCCACCCTGGTATTGACGAACGTACCCAACCTCGACCAGCACACCACCCGACGCAACGTCAAGGTCGAGGTCGAGGCACGCCTGACCCATCGTCACACTGCCCGGACGTGGGCCCGACGGGAACTCCATAGAGAGGATGAGTTTGAAGTCGGTGTCGACGATGTTGAGGGCTCTGAGGCTGTCGACAGCGTTGATGTCGTTGAGGTGCAGGGTGTGTGCGGAGAGAGGTGTGGCGCGGTCGATGAACGTATCGGGGTTGGCTTCGAGAAGTTGAGGCTTGAGTTGAACGTTGGATTGAGGAGACGCAGGTGATGGGGGCGATAAGGGCGACAACGGCGAGCTGGAGGAGGAAGGTGAGTATGTTTCGAGGGCGGAGGAGAGGAGGGAGGGGGTTCAACGACGATGACAGAAAAGAAGGCAAACAATCGAAATATGGGATATGAAAAAGAAAAAAGAGAAGAAAACCTCGAAAAAGAGAGCGGACACAAACAACGATGGCGACGATAAGAAAATCGACGACCAAAAACGACAACCGAAGACGAAAATACGAAAGTAGAGGAACAACCGAAGAGAAGGATGACGGATGAAGGAAAGAATGTGGAAAGAAAACACGAAACGAAAGAAAACCGAACAACGACTTACCCAAGGACCTCCTGCACCTCTCTTCGCCCAAAAACATCCTTTTCGACTGCCCATCCTTCCACATCCTCAACCTCCTCGCGCCGCCCGAAAAGATCCTTTTCTACCGCCCATGGCCCGACGTCTTCAAGTTGCTCTCGACGTCCGAACGGGTCCTTCTCCACCGCCCACGCTTCCAGATCCTCGACCTGCTCTCGGACCTCCTCGCGACGCCCAAATGGGTCTTTCTCGACGGCCCACAACTCAACATCCTCAATCTCCTCCCTTCCATAACGATCCTTCTCCACCGCCCACCCCGCCAAATCCTCAATCTCCTCCCTCTTCCTCTCCTCCTCCCTCGTCGCCACCACCCCCGTCTCCGGGTCAAAATCAAACGCAACCGCCTGCCCCGTCGAGTTGATCCTCGTATTCATCGTGATCAACACACTCCTCCCATCATCCCTCACCACGCTGATCACCGGAAACCCGATGAACAAACACAGCAGCGCCAACAGCAACAGCATGATAGCCGAAACATTGACGAGCCCGCGCCACGAGAGGTGCGATAGGGACGAGAAGGGTGCGGAGGAGGAAGAGAGGAAGGCGAGGTGCGGCGGGTAGGGCTCGTACACTTCGCCTGCATAGACGCGGCGCACGCTGTGTTGGGAGGAGGTGGAGGGCGCTTTCTCCTTGCCCTTGCCGTTGGAGGAGGAGGATGGGGTGGACGAGGACGTCGCGTCGCTCGATCTCTTGCCTGCTCTGGCGGAAGCCTTGGCCCGGTCACGAGTATATGGAGGGGGCGGGTAGTCGAGGTCGTGTAGCGGGTCCGGTTCGTCGCCCTCTCCGTCGCTATCATCGTCCGGGTCGTATGCGTACGCCACCAGTCCTCCTCCGCTTCCGACACCTGCTTGCGAATGAGGAGATGATAAGCCCAATCCAACGCCGAAACCAAGGCCGGCAGGATACTTGGAATCGCTGCCCATCGAGACGATCGAGTCGCCGGACGTTGAATAGACCGAGGCGCGGTTGAGCTGGGAGAAGGACGGTGGTGGGAGGAGACCGCCGTCTTCCGCTGCAGTTGGGGGTGTTGTACCGTGGTTGAGAGGAGAAGAGCCGGAGGAGAACGACGGAGGAAGAGATTGCCCAGGAGAGGGTGCGGATGGGTCGGGTAGGGCGACCCGGTACAGGATCATCGACCCGCGTGTAGGGAGGGCGGGGATAGAGCCTGCTGTTGAGGAGGGTGTTGCAGTCCCGACTCCTCGTTGTTCCTGTCCACCCCAACTCAGTGCTCTCGACTCCTCCGACGCCAATCTTGCAAAGTACGTCGATCCTCTCGAACCTGGGCGGGCGAATGGCGACGTAAACGACGAAGGCGAGTGCGGTTGGAGGGTGGGCGTCGACGGTGCTGGTGCTTGCCCGTTATTGATCGAGGAGGCTGGTGACGAGCCGGAGGGATTGAGAGGGGAGCCTTTGAACGAGGCAGAGCGTGGGACACGGGCCATGGGCACGCCGCTCGTGTTGATACCCGTCCCACTGGGGAAGACTACGGGCGGCTGCGTGTGGATATTGGTATGCGTGTGCGTTGCAGGAGGCGATGTGGGTGGGAACGTCGGTGACGACGCAGGCGGTGACGAGGGTAGGAGTTGGTCCGAGGAGAGCGTCCGTGTATGCGTATGCGGGTAGGTCTGCTGGGCGACGGTAGGTGAGGAGGGTAGGTGCTGTGGTTGCTGCTGGGCCGACGACGACGAGACGAGGACGACGGACGCCCGAGACGACACGGGCGGGAGAAAGCCCGGATCGGACAGGGTGTATCGCGACACCCTCGTGCGGTCATCCAACCCCGCACCCGAGCCCGAACTCACAACCCTTCCTCCTCCTCCTCCTCCTCCCACCAATGACGTCCGTGCGGCATCCTTCGGCGGTGGTGGAGGCGGTTGTCGGAGCTGGTGTTGATGGTGCTGTTCCTGCTCTGGTTCCGGGGTCGAGGACTTGGAGGACTCGTTCAGCATCCTCTCGCGCTCGCTGAGGTTGATGTTGGTGGGAGTGAAGGGCACATCAAAATCGACGGCTTCGTAGTCTTTCACCCACGAGTCAGGGCGTGCCATTGGTTATCGCGGCTCCTGATGGAGACTGGATCTGGGTCCCTCGAGAAGCTGGGCGTGGGGAGCTAAGCAGGTGGATGGATATCAAGAACGTCGATATCGTACCCAATCGGCGTAACGTCAGCTCTAATCGATAATCCTGCGCGTGGGGTTGGGCGTCTTTCCTCCCGTCAGGTTCGAGAGCTGGTTCGAGTGGGTGTCTGCGGTTGAATTTCCTACCGCCCCGTGGTGGATGGTGCGACGGCGGTCGGTCCCGGGTCGAAACCTTGGCCACGCCTCGGGGCCAAAACTTTCGGGAGGGAGAGGATGAGGGGAGGAAGAAAGAGGGGGAACGGAATGGGCGACGATGTCGGAGGTGGAAAGAAAGCAGCTCGCCGCTGTCGACCGGTTTTATGACAACAACGCGTGGTTCGACCGTCACGCCCGTTCTCAACGCAAGTCACACATCAGTCACGCTTGTCCTCCTGCACCGCACCCTGCGTCTACGCACACAGAAGACGGACCTCTGTGTGCATTCAATCCTTCAAATAATCGTGCACGCTGCGCACGTCCTCGAAGATATAAACCGGGCCCGCGATTACCCAAAATACCCTCGACGATCGCTCATATCCACCCAATGGCCTATTTCTTTCTTACCCCAGGTGGAGGTCCGAGACTGGCGCCCACTCGTCGTTGATTGCGCAGCCTCACCGCCAGAAGGATATCTTGCTCGTATCCAATGTCTTCCCTGTAATTCGCCACACATGTATCTAAGTTCTAACCGATTTCGTCTAACCCTGCTGTCTCACTCGTCCGCAAAAGCCTCGTTCCGGGCACACCGCTCGACATGGCACGAAGACATAAAAGAACATGTTGTGCGGCATACTAGGGTCTGCTCTCTGCGAATATTCAAATATTCAGGTATAGCGTCTTCTCATGCTCTTGGTCTCATGGTCTACGGGGTCTCTTTCGGCGATTTATCTCGTTCTCTTCGGTCAATTACCGAGTGCTTTCCATGGCCGGCGGTCGCTGTACGACTTTAGAGTCTGTCAAATCAATTCTAGGCTGCGAAACTGGACGGTTAATGTTAACCGCCTCGATATATATGTACCCTGTTCGATACTCTATATTCCGTGCCCATCATGATTTGGGAACTGGCTTTTATTCTATCGAGGCGGCTGGATTATCACCGTGATTATCTCCTGCGAATGTCTACCTTTGTCACGTCTCCCAGACCCACAAATGTCAACATCCAACCCCAAACTCGTATTTGCTATTCACCACCGGTGATTCGCTCGCCTTCGGTTCCGACGCACCGATGGACATGCGGTCGACGCACGACCGTCGACGCGCATAATTAACTCACGTCAACGCTTCATTAATTCATAGATCATCTGCCCAGCATCCTATGCTTATGCCTTACACCTTCGCTGTTCCGATTCACAGACACCTCGAGGTCGCGCCTACAAGGTAAGTAGATTCCAGGATCATCGGAGGCTCGGAGGCTCGGATTCGGACTCGGAGATACTACTCCCCATCGAGCGGGACGACCTTTGGCTAATTTTGAAGCTCGAGAATACTTACATCATGTGGATCGAAGAACGTCTATACTTAACTCTCAACTTGTTTCTTATCTGTCGTTTCCTAGCACTTCGAGACCAGAGACGCACTGGGCGTCAAGCATGACTACGAAATAAGAAGGTCGTCAGCAGGAGGCTTAAATTCGAGGTTCGGGTTCGGGTTCGGGGTTCCGGGCGGCGACATGATCTTGAAGTAGGACAATGTGAGCTTCTATCGTCCCTCAAGTCAGCTACCTATCGTCTCGAAGGACATATTCCGGAGATGAACCACATCTCAGACATGAGAAAGACAAGTAACAAAAATGGCACCAAGTCGAGGGAGCTCGGTGATGCTATCGATCGAATTCCTCGAGGTGGGGGTGGGGAGGGAGGTGGGTGCGAGACGATGGTGATAGACGGGATAGAGGATGAATATGGATCTAGGGTGCAGACGAGAGAAGAGAAGGATGCAATCGCGCCCCATCCAGAGACTAACTCGAGCTCGAGCAATCCGACCCTCATCTAACCCGACGATAGAAAGGCGGGATGGGTTTTTGACCATTCAGCCTTTCGGGGGATCGCGGGTTATAAAGAGGGAAAGACGCTCGAGCTCGTGGGTCTGGTGTTCGATGCTACGGTAGCGATGTTGGACGGAAGGTGTGAAGGGATGGCTGGACAGATGTATTCCGTATAGGAAAAGGCCGAGAGACGATGAGAACAAGCAACGAAGATGATTGTCCATCATGTGCGCCGAGGGCGGGCTGTCAGCGCGTCAACACTCACACGAATGTCTCCTCTGGTTCGGCACGAACGTGTGCGCCGCCGGATTGTCTCAACGCCCTAACGCACCCCCGTTTCTCGCCATCGATCTTTGAGGCCGACGTTGCGAAGGTACTGCAGAAGAGATACTTACAAGGTACAATTACTCAGAGCTCGAAATAGACAACAAAGATACGAACCTCCCACTCGTGCCGGTGACGCTGTCTTCGAATCTCCTGCAGGTCGCCCATTACGTCGGCGCAGAGACACTAGAAGACCACAGTAAGAGCTCGTGTGTACGAATGTAGGAGGCGGTCCCACCAAATGCCGTCTCAAGCTCGTTTTATCGCACTGACGGGGGCCGACGTTGATCGACCTCCAACCTAAATTTCTGGAGAGACGACTCGAGCGCTCCTATTCATAAATACGGTCCAATTGCCTGAAGACAGTGAGGAGAGAACGGCTGTGCAGGAAATCTTTCCCTATGTACAGTGAATTACTCCCACTTTTCTCACTTCCAAATCTTCCTATACCTTTCGAAACCCCTTCTTACTCCATAAATATATCCGAGTCGCCACATTGTGCCCTCTATGGCCTTAAGCTTCCCGAGGGTCCTGAAGCCGAGTCTCCAGTCGAACTCCGAACCTCACTTTCTCATACAGTGCCCTCGAATACTCTATCGTATCCTGAATCCCGTTCTTGATCGTGATGTTCCACGAGCCGCAAAAAAATCGCAACAACGAGCTCATCGATATACAAGGCGCTTACCTTATCCGCTGCGACCAAGACCGAAAACGTCAACGATCGCAGGATTGGCAGGCCGTCCGAGTCTGCGTGGAAGGCAAGTCTAGAACTGATAACCTCGACGACGGCCGTCCGAGTGGATGTCGATGCTTCTCCAGGCCCATATTGGAAGGAGCACTCTGAATTCGAAATACGTTGTGTCCTTTCCACAGGAAGAGGATATGCCTCGGACGCGGAGAGGGGAGATATCAGCAATGAGGAATCCAGAGCATCGAACACGAAAAGCCCTGACAGCATCGTCCGCGATTCGCCTCGTCCGAGGGTAAATATATGCGGCGTCGATAGGCAGATATGAAGCCTCCTGGCTGCTTAACGAAAGACCCGAGAAGATACCAATTTACGCTGTCACAAGTTCACGATGTCGAGCTCCTGGAGATCGACACTAGTACGAAGTATTTGGAGTAACCGTCGTTGGTAGAGAGCTGTGTTAAACGCGAGATTTGGTAAGGACTTCGGCGTTTCGAAGTACCAACGAAGGGCAAAAGTGTTTTTTTGAAGACACCACTATAAACGCGAATATATGCGCCATTGGGAGACTCTCGCCGCCCAAAGGGGCCCTTTCAATTGGATGCACGATTAGAACGGTTAAACCTCTCCTCCGATCATGTGAAATGCGGCGGATATGGGAGAAAGGGATATTATAGGCGGGGCACAATGACGGATGCAGACACCTGTTACAGAAAAGGCTCCCATCGCCGCTGTGAGCTGGACTCAGATGCATGAGTCACGCCTTCGTTCACTGAACGGCGAGATACATTTCCGTCCCAACCGCCTGAAATCGAGGTGGTGCCTCGCAGAGAACGTACGACGTGTTGGTGTTGGGAGAGGAGGGGAAGAAAAGGAGCGTTAGAACACACCCGATTTAGGCGCGAGAGGACGGGTATCAATGGACGAACCGGACAAGAAAGAGCTGGATGGACACAATAATGGAGGCGACCCGGTATAGATCTAGAAGAATTGATCGCCCGAGAAGTAGGAGGGTCCAACGATGTTGTAGAACCGAAGAGAACCCCTCCTTGCGGTGTTCGTCCCGAGTCATTGATCGACGAGCGCGATGGGTACGATCTGGGACGATGGAGTCAAGACGGGATGGAAGTGAAAGGCGTCGTGAGGGCGTTCGATGCGGAAGGACAGCGGTAGAGGGGCAGTGGGTGCATCGGCGACGATGGTGGGAGAACGAATAGAAAGTGCCAGGCCGAGCAGGGGTTATCGACGAACTCTTCGCTGGAGAGATCGACCGAAGCTTGCCCTGCTGCAGTCCCACAGTCGCCAGTTTGCCGCAAAAAGTGATAAGAGCTCGTGGAACGGTGAATAGTGTCAGGACCTTGGACTCGGAAGGCACAAGGAGGAGATAAAGATGGGCCTAGGATACGGGGAGGACGTGGCCGGCAAAGAAGAAACGTTTCAGAAACGAGCAACGCCGGGTGAAATGTTGCCGGAAGTGCCGAAGCCTCTCAGAAGGCCATGCCAAACAAGCACAAGCACAAGCACAAGCTCACGCTCATCGTTCGTGCTTCCGTGTCCTCTTGTTCCGCTTCTCCAAGTCTTTCTTCATCGAGACCGTACCGGGAGCACCTGCTCGACACCCCAGGACGAGGATATTATCATGGATCACAGTGTCGCTCGCAAGTCTATTGTTCGTTTGTGATCTTTCGATTCTCGAACGTGGTGTGCTAACAGAGCGTTTTCGCAGTCTGTAGGCACCGGCATCGATCGCGATTGCGATTGCGATTCCGCTCTCTGTTCTACGTAGGCGGCGGTCCTCATTCCCGCGTCTCCCTCCGTCCTCCTGTTCCGCATTTCCATCATGACGGGCGACGGCGACAGCAGGTGTCGCCCTTCCCCGATCCCCTTCTTCAACCTCAGATTCAACACTCGGGAGCAGTACCACCACTCGAAAGC